CTTTCTTTGGGGCACTACTCAACACAAAAAGAAACTACACTTGATTAAATGGTCTGTAATACAAAAACCTAAGCATCAAGGTGGTCTGGGTATTCAAAACCTAACTACTAAAAATAATGCACTTTTAGGAAATTTAGCTTGGCGTCTATTTAAATGTCCCAACACCCTGTGGGCATCTCTACTACTGACTAAATACAAAAACATCACCCAAAGCCATAACACCTCCCTTATCTGGAAAGCCATACAACTAGGTTAGAAATTTTGCCAACACGGCATAGTATGGCATATTGCCAAAGGAAGGCACATACACTTCTGGAACGAGCCATGGCTTGGACCTAATATTATCCTTCGTAACACTATAGAGGGACCACTACCCTCTCATGAAATAACTGCCACAGTCAGCCACCACATCCTCAACAATCAAATTGATACCACTTCACTCCCTTTTGTCATCCCAGAACCCACCCTTTCATTGATCAACCAAATCCATATTCCAACCTTAACTAACCCCCACTCCTTCGATTAGCTCATTTGGGGGCTCACTCCCAATGGTTAATTCTCTGTTAAATCATCATATCATACACTAGAAAACCCTAAAACAACTTACCCACATAATTGGCTTTGGAAACTACACTTACCACCAAAAATACTATATTTTCTTTGGCTAATATCACACTAAAGATTAGCCACAGCTACTTACCTTCACCATATCCATGTCACCCAATCCAATACATGCAATCTTTGTCTTCAAAGTGTAGAAACAATTACCCATCTTCTCTTCCAATGCCCTAACACATCCATTATATGGTCTCAATTGGGGCTTGCCCATACCTTACATGCTTGTGATATCCTACTCTCACCACCCATCTAAATCATCCACCAATTGATCAATACCTCTCCCAGCCTACCATTCCACTTGCCCCCACGTATACTGATTCCACTCATAGTATGGCATATTTGGAAGCTCCGAAATCACTACCTATTTAAACGACACTCACCACCCCCTCCTTCAATACGGAATATGCTATCACAAGCAGTAGAATATCACTACCTTATCCAACAAAATTCACAAGCACCGGCACCCACCCACATGTATGTCAAATGGCACCCACCACCTATAGGTAAAATTAAATTAAACACTGATGGAGCCGCCAAAGGCAATCCAACTAAAAATGGCATAGGAGGAGTATTCCGAAATGCCATGGGACATTGTTTACTAGGCTTCATGGGTACACGACCTACAGGTAACTCCACCTATATGGAACTACATGCATTATTACAGGGTTTGCAATTAGCTTGGCGTCATCAACTCATACCATTGGAAGTGAACGTGGATTCTACAGAGGTAATCTCGATGCTTAAGAAACACAATTTACACTACTCATCCACCTTAATGGAATGCAGGTACTTACTCCAGCAGCTGGGTAATCCTCCTATTATCCACACATACAGGGAGCAAAATTACGTTGTACATACTCTTGCTCAGAATGGCGCCACTGCAAACGTGCAGGACCACACAACAATCTTCACCCAACCACCCACCTTTTTGCTGCCACAACTTTTGGCTGATCAACAGGGAGCTGCTTACCCAAGACTTGTGAAGATTTCTGGCCCAGACAACTTGTCCTATAGGTTGCATGCACGTGAACTTGGTACATCTTTTGCAGATCAAGACCATGATCATCTATCAGCCCACTTTTTTTAAAGTGATCACTCCAATGATTACCTTTTTGATTACTCCTTTTGTAATGTATTGCAACGAGCTCCTTGTAATGTTACCGTTTAAATTAATATAATTTTGTCTGTTGACCAAAAAAAAAGTACTCGATGACTGATGCAACCGTTACAACAACACCAACTGGGTTTCTTCGGCGACGGTTACGCTAGTCAAACATCTCCATTTGTGGGTAAAATATTTCTGTATTTATTGTACGTAAGAAAAAATAAGAAAAGAAATAAAGAACGTCGTACAATTTTTTTATCCCATCACTTTAACCCTTTAGTCAATGTTTTGGAATTATTAAAAGAAAGTCGAATGATCTGTCAAAAATTAACGCATTAGCGGTTCAATTCAGCTGTGTTAATTTTCAGAATAGGAAATGGAGTCCACTACCTTATACTCAAAATATGTTATGCTTTTTAATGTTTATTTAGGTTAAATTAATTAACATTTTAATTCGTGTAAAAGATTGTAACTTTCGCAAAAATTCTTTATGTTTTAAAAGCCGTCTTGTAATTCCTTTTAAATGATAAAGAGGTATAAGGTGTTAAGAAAATATATGATTTTTATCCAAGGACTGGCTTAGGGGTCAAGATGCATGTAGGTGTAAAATAGCTGTAAATCTTAACGATTAAGGATCAAATATTTGTACGAAAATATAATGGTTATTCTGCGTAAGTCTTTGTGATTAAAGTTACTCGATATTTGTACGGGGGAAAGATATAACATATATCCGATGAACAATCAAGGTACATAAAAACTAACTCATGATTTTTAACCATGACTCGTCTCACCACAATCCTTAATAATAGCAATTAATCATGCTCCACAATTGTGGGGATCGTGACACTCCTTAATTAGTTAAGGGATTACATATGAATGTTCGCCAAAGCTAAAGTTGGTGTTGGACGACATAGTCAGCAGTCCAACTGAACCATTTCCAGAGGATAATGTTTTTGGCCGGTTTCAGATTTTCAACTGTTAAGACCAACTAACTTAACTGCTGAGACTAGAATAGTAGCTCAAATAAAGAAGTAGTAAATATTTATTGGTGTTATAAATATATTATATTATGGATGTTCATTTAGTACTCCGTTGTAAATAAGCTTCCTGAGGAAGCTTATCCATATGGGACTCCGCCGTAAATATGTTTATCTATTTGGTACTCTATTGGAAATAAGCCTCCTGAAGAAGTTTATCATTTCGGTACTCCTTTATGGATAAATATTACTCCCGGTAGAAGATTATCTAAATCTGATATAGTAGCAGCTTACAAGCAGCTTACACAGCAGCTTCCTTTCTTCTATAAATTGAGGAAATTTCAGTTTATTATGTACATCAGTTTGAAGTTGAATAATATATTAATTTCTCTATACTTGTCTTCGATTTATTTATTTTACCGTCTTTATTTTATAATAATTTGCTCCTTTTCACGGAAGTTGCCTTTTAATTAGCCAACGTGGCAAATCTTGTTGAGAAGTGGCAACCTTTGTGGGGCCAATATTTTAACTTTCCACCACTTTTGACTGATAATTTACCTAACAGTAACAGATAATGTTAAATAATCTCAGCATGATAATATGAAAAATAAACAATATTTACTCGCTAATTAAAGTCTGTTAACTTGCACTAATAACTAAATATTTCTTGTATAGAGTAAATCTAACACTGGAGCTTGTGACACCACGTAGAAGCTTCTGGACACGTGGCTAATTCTGTAGCAATTTTGACATCAATAAGTGGTGTTTGGTCGGCGACGGTTACGCTAGTCAAATATCAAATACCTCCATTTGCTAGTAAAAAGATTTTGTATTTATTGTACGTAAGCTTGAATAAGTAAACATATAATATTTGCATCTTCAAAATCTTTTAATTTATCCCTTTGGTCAAAACGTTGAATGCATGACTTCATAGAATATTTAAACTACATTAATATTTTGTGTATATAGTTATTTTTTATTGCTCAAATTAGTAAACAAAGTCCACATTACCTTTTAGGTAAAGCATATGTGTGTGATATAGAATTGAACTCGTAACCTAAAATTGAAAATATATATTACCATGGTTGTATACGTAATTCTACTTCTACATGGATTGGAGTTCATACTTTGTCAAAATAAATTCAGTTTTTCTTCTAGATAGGGACTTAATTAAATGTTGTCATTTTTGACATTGATCGATGGGTAGTGAATAGTGATGACTCAATATGAACAGTGTTCAGTAAGCACGAGACATGCATAAAATAATTGTCTACATTCAAAACATTCTTTTTATTCTTTTTAATATAATTTTAAATTAATGATCATGATATACGTTTCCAAACACTTATATTTATCTTCAAATTTTTCTCCACGTTTTTTTCCTTTCCAATTTTAACAGATTGCATTTGTAATCTGCTTAATTTGTTTCTCTATTTGAAAGCAAATAGTTTCATTAACCTCTTTCTTATATATAAAGTTCTTTTGAACGATTAAATTAACTGTAAGAGCGTAATTTTTTTTATAGAAATAAAGATGAGATATAATTGTAATTTAATATGCTACTCAGACTTTAGCATAAGCTAGTGTTACTTCCTCACCATCTAAGGTGTAGCCTTCGGACAGCTACACTTAACTACAAAATGATCTTATTGTTTAATTTCTAACGATCTAAATAAGGAAGATATTTAGGCGACATAATTGACCTATTAAATTCTAAAGATAAGATATCACATATTTGGAAACTAAAAACTTATCGGTTTCTAAATTAATTAATCTATTCTTACTTCAACAGAAAGGCCGATGTCCAATTGTCCATCATAACAAATTGATTTCGAGAAGTAGCTTATCTTTAATTTGTTGAAAAGGAAAGAAAGTAGGTGATATTTTATTAGTAATTAAGAAACGAAATCCAGATGTTAATTTTTTGTGCAATGTAGGAATGAAACAATGGTAGGAGGGCCAGATGGACTGTTATCTAGTGTTATCAAGTTTGGTAATTAATAATAAAATACAATGACATAAAAACTTTAATGAGTTAACATAATTTATTTCTGGTGAAATTAAAAAAAAAAAGTTAACACAATGTATTAAATTTTTAACACTTTGGCGCCACTTGCACCGCTTATTTTGTAACTGACGAAGTCAAAAGCATTGACACGACGTCGTGCTCGTGCACACAGCTATCTGGATTTTGTTTCCCATGCAATTTAATTAATATTTTGGATATTTTATTACATTGCCTAACGCCTATATAAGAGAAGGAAAACACTCGAAAACTCATCAACAAAACACAAGAAATCTTCTCTTCTTAATAAACTTTTTTTTCTCCCTCTAAACTCACAAAGAATCTCTTCTTTTTTTTTCATTTCAAGATGACTCCTAATGTTGTTGGACGTGCAAACAAGGGTGCCACTGGTTTAGCCAAGGCTGCAAGTTTGCCCAGCCGTGCCTATGTGACATTCTTGGCAGGGAACGGGGACTATGTGAAAGGTGTGGTTGGTTTGGCTAAAGGGTTGAGGAAGGTGAAATCTGCTTACCCTCTTGTGGTGGCAGTTTTACCTGATGTCCCAGACGAACACCGCCACATACTCATCAACCAGGGCTGCATCGTCCGGGAGATCGAGCCGGTTTATCCTCCTGAGAACCAGACACAGTTTGCTATGGCTTATTATGTTATCAACTACTCTAAACTCCGCATCTGGGAGGTATAACAAGTTTCCTTTTAAGTTTGCATTTGAGTTATAACTTTTAGCTGTATAGATTAATTTCTTATATCATTAGGTTAAGATTATCTACAACAATAAGTAATTATCTATAGTAAGCTTAATTTAGTATATCCTAAAATATGTTGTAAATGACTAGGTGGATGCAACGTATTATCAACGGGTTCATCAACTAATACACTTGGTTACTTTTACATGATGAGCATAGATATATACGTGAAAAAGTCACTAAAATATAACAGTGAAATTCTGAACCGATAATTGCAAAAGTGCAGTGATCCAATTGTGAGAAAATAAAGGTTGTACTGGTTCAAGTTTAAATGTTGGATCAGTCTCGACCACTTAAAATGCAAATACTCTAAAACTTTTAGACTACCAGTATATATAATTATATAAGTCAAGTCTTTTAAATTTAAGTTGTAAACATTGACAATATAAGTCTAATATACACTGTCAGTGTACAAGTTCTATTACTACATGTTAGTCCTTTAATATGACCGACTCATATACGTTACACGCCCTTTTTCTTTAATTCCAATCTATAGAAAAGATTGATTTGGTGCTAATTGCTGAGTGGAGTATTAATTATTATTATGTTGACTAAATGCAGTTTGTGGAGTATAGCAAGATGATATACTTGGATGGAGATATCCAGGTGTTTGAGAACATAGACCACTTGTTTGACTTGCCAGAGTCCTATTTCTACGCCGTGATGGACTGTTTCTGTGAGAAGTCTTGGAGCGATAGCCCACAGTACAATATTGGGTACTGCCAACAATGCCCAGATCAGGTCCAGTGGGCTGAAGAGTTAGGCCCAAAGCCCAGTCTTTATTTCAACGCGGGCATGTTCGTATTTGAGCCCAGTATCCCTACTTACGATGACCTTTTGAAGACCCTTAAAGTTACCCCTCCAACATCTTTTGCTGAACAGGTAACATTATTCTTGGCCTTTTCTTCTTGTAATTTTATCTTTGTCCAAATCCAAAGAGTTTATATGCACCATGTTTACTTTTCTTAGTCGGTATACATAGACTGTAGATTGATTATATATATATTATAGATGGATCAGTAAATATATTATATGTCCGTCGGTTATTTTTAATTTAAGCAGTTGGGTGAACGACTATTTAGGTTAATTCTTCAATAATTGTTTACATCATCAATGTATTTTAACTAGTTATAGTAGGTTCCTTTAAATGCTTATTAGAAAAATTTGCATGTAATTGTCTATCAAGAAACGGTAAAAATAGCACGGGCTAGCTAGTTTTTGGACTGGTCATTCAAAAACTGTCAGCGTTTGCAAAGTCATTGAAAAATAGCCATTATTTTGCTGCATCACGGAAAGTTCCAGCATAATATACCGGAGATCGTTGCACCTGTGTATGAACTTCCAGCATATTATGCTGGAACTCCAACACGCGGAAAGTTCCAGCATAATATACTGGAGATTGGAGCACCTGTGTATGAACTTCCAGCATATTATGCTGGACTGGTATATTATACTGGTACTCCAGTATAATATACTGTAGGTCCAGTATATTATACTGGAGTATTTTCCGGATTTTGAACAGTGTTTTCGTTGAGATTTATCTTTACATGAAAAGTGACTAAATTTCTATTACTTTTGAAACTGTGACTATTTTTGAATGAAACTTGTAAATCTGGCTATTTTTGAATTTGCTCTTAAGAGACATGTAGAACTTAAACTCTTGTCAAGATGACTAAAGTGGGCTTTTGTTTTGGTGAAACTTTTGTAGGATTTCTTGAACATGTTCTTCAGGGACATTTACAAGCCAATTCCAAATATTTACAACTTGGTTTTGGCCATGCTGTGGCGACATCCAGAGAATGTAGAGCTTGACAAGGTGAAAGTTGTTCATTATTGTGCAGCAGGGTCCAAGCCATGGAGATACACAGGAGAGGAAGAGAACATGGACAGAGAAGACATCAAAATGCTGGTGAAAAAATGGAGGGATATATACAATGATGAGTCGCTGGATTACAAGAATGCCAATGTCACTAACAAATTCATGCCAGTGCTTCCGAAGGGCGGCGTTGTTCGCTACGTAACCGCCCCCTCTGCTGCTTAGTAAAAGTAGAAACGATATGACTTATACACTTCTAAATGACCGAAAAAAGAAAAGAGATGTTTGATTCTTCCTTTTCCCTATTATTGAGGTGTCTAGGGTCTATAAAAAGTAAGTTATATATAGTACTATATAGCACGGTTTTGGCTTTGTTCTCTTTGCTTAGAAGAGACTATGTATATTTAGATAGGAGAACGTGCTATTTTAAGTTCTCCTTGAATTTGTATCCACTATGAATATTGGAAGAATACATAAATGAACTACATAGTATATTACTATGTTGGTATCTAGTTGATTATGTTACAGTTTGGAAACCGAGTATCAGCAAATGACATTTCCATAATCCTACAATGGGCAGAAATAGCAAACGAACATTTATAAGCAAAGTTGAGAAGAAATTTTGCGTGGAAATTATAAGCTTTGTATGGTTAATTAGTTGCTCTAAAATGATCAATGTTAGTGTTTACTTTCTCACTTTATAAAGAATCAGTTTTCCTCAAGAACCCAGTATCGAACCACATATAGGAGAAAGCTGACACAAATGGCGGCAGTGCCAAGAACGATAATAAGCCGAACCCACAAGTGGGATATAAATGCCTTCAGGACTATTGCATCCCACAACCAAAACCAGAAAACGGAGAAAGAGAATCCTAAAACAGCACCTACGGCTACTTGGCTGGTTGTGTGAAGCCGTTGTGAAACCCGTAGCCATGACTGCACAAACAAAAGCAACGAGCATATCAATTTATGGCTACAATAGTTCAACTAAACTAAGGTTTCGTGCAGAAAATTGGTTGAAAGCAGGCAGAAGCCAGCTGCTCTGCAAGCATATGAAATAATTTGACAAAAACAAACTAAATAAAGGTTCGGCTGTACACTTACAAAGTAGGAGCCAATTGCAAAGATAAGTGCGCTAATGACTGCGGTGATTCCGTTTAACCCAAAATATTCTACTACTGTGACAAACAAAAAGAAAAGATGTATCAGAGGTTAGGTAGTTTTAACGCCATAGCTGCACACAAAATTTGTCAAACAAGAAAAGGAAACTTGAACTGTCAAACAAGGCACAAACTCCCTGTGTCCTTTCTAGTGATCTTATTCATCAAATAAGAACCACATTGTTCTAAGGTATATCTGAGGCGATATAAATTCAATCTGAATCTATGACAGTAGAAGAGCACTCGTGAACATGAACATTTGTAGCAGACAGGTTAATCAAGTTCAGAAGTTATCTTAACGCATCATGATAACATTAATTTGAAGGGCTGCTTGTACAGGCACAGTACTATCTGAACATACTATGAGTCGTATCAATGTCAATAAGAGTCATAAAGTTTAAGTATGTGCAACACAATCACATACAATTATCACATAAAGGGAAGAAAGAGTGCAAATTCAGCACTGCGTCTCACTTTTTAAGGCCAAATTAGGATTATAATTTGCTAGGTTAAAAGCTTGTAGACTGCCTGGAAACCTTAGTATCTTATTCACCTTATATTATGAACATAGAGTTCCCTGTCAAGCCGTTTGGCTTGTGCATCTTCGACTCTCTTTACAAGAGTTTCAATGTATTACTAGAGAAACTTTAAGCATGCATGTAGATTGATAACAGATGAGAAGATTTTGAGCACTATATTGTTGTAGCTTAGCTCTTCAGGCTTTAGTACTGGTATGTATTGCAAGAGATACTGAACTTTACAGCAGATTTATTCTATAGATTCAATCATGATTGAACAGTTCGCACCTAAGTTGCTCTGACACGTCAGTTTAGGTGCAGGAAAATAGCATACCTTATCTAGGAAATCAATCCTTTACTTATCTACTTGAGAATAAAGAAGAAATCCACACTTTACGAGCTATACGTAAATATTCCACAAAATTTCTCATAATTTAGAAATATTTTTATGTTTTTATTTTTTTGAATTATTTTTAGCCGGATACCCGCACCCGTACTAGGATCCGTGTCCACGAATCTTATAATTTACATCTTGAAGGATCCGACCTCTGGATCTCGACCGTGTCCGAAACCCGCACCCGTGTCCGAGCAACTTAGGTTCCCACTTACATCTAACTATTGCCTAAAAACCTATGTAATGATCTATAACCGTGGATGAGTCCCTTTCTAGACGCAATTCACATTCTATTATATCCATGATCAAAGGAGAAAAGTCGTACAGATCAGTTAATTGATTGATTAAAATCTTCTAGGAAGTTCTGACAGGGAATATGTGATAGATATGAAGAATATCTAAAATCAAGTATAATCCCTCCATCTAAGCAATTGGCTATGAAAATTACTTGAGACAATACAGAATGTCGCTGCATAGATGATAGACTGTGCATGAGAAGATGGCATTCCAGGGTCTGATCTTAGTGTAGAAACGGGTCGCTCTTGGTTCAGTATTCTCTTCAGTACAGTTGAGAGCCAGGCATTCAGAACAGAACCAGAAGCAGCCCAAAGTGCTTCTGCGTCATGCCTCCAAAGGAAGATTATACCAAAAACTGCAGCCACCAGCCACTTACTCTGCATTTTAAGGTAATTATGAAATTAGAACGCTTTACGTATCATTAATTTATAGTTCCATTTCCAGAAAGCATGATGATTCAAATGATAGAGTTAATTTGAAAGTCTTTTACACGACATTACAGAAAAGATCACAGCTTCATGGAATGTATTCTTTCATTAATCACATATAGAGGGTCAGAGAATATCAGATAGCACCCTCGATGACTTGAAATTACAAGCTTAACATTAGCTGAAAAAATGTGCGAGTTTGTAGGACCAAAACCCAACCTAACACCAAAACTGGTAAACCAGTTGTAGTCTACTTCCTAGGGTGCAGGCAGATTCTATTTAAAAGATTTAAATTTTATGTTATCATGAGAATAGATACATTATAATATTCTCAAGTTCAGTTATTCCAAAACTTAATGAGTAGCTCGTGTTGAGAATCAGGGGCTTGTAATAAAATGAACAACAATATGGTTGCAGATGCTGGACTCTATCAGGGTAATTTTACAAGGTCTTCTAATTTTATACAACTCCAGATGTTAAAGCAAAATTCAGCATCAAACATGCTCCATAAGGCCATACTACTTCCAGTTTCAGCTTAAACTTTCCGTGAACAAGCAAAAAAAGATGAATAATGAGAACTCACTAGTCACTACTTTGTAGCCTGGGTAACTAAACATTAAACTAAAATTTAATTTTTATTTTTTTTGTTGCTAAATGCAAGGCAATTTATTAGAGCTAGTAGCAAGAAGGTACTACAAAACACACCAACTTCTACATAAGAATTCTAAACTCTTTTCTGTAACATATCAGGAAAATCTCCAATCAACCTATATCAAACTATAGCTTTGTCTTAGAAACATTTAATTCAAACACTTATCAGCTAGAAATGCCAAGAATTCACCTCAATTAAATAGTCAAATTAAAGAACAATCTTTCCCTCTTTTCTTTTCAACAATAACATTGTAAGCACAAAATAAATCAAGAAACGGTACGAACGGTTAAAATGGTAAGAAAGTAAACCAACCAACTTATTGAGAGTGGCGTTGAGTCCACCAGTAGCAGAAATTGAGGACCCATCAATGAAAGCTTCTTGTTCAAAACCTCCAATTTTTACACCCACTCCATCATCACCTACACTAGCTTGACTTCTTACTAAATCCGCCATATTGGGATATGGGTATTTTTTATCACGGGATAAGAAAGTGAATTTACTACGGAAATTCAATTTAGAAGTGGAAAATGATTTGGGTTTAGGAAACTGAATTAAGGGTGAAAAAACAAGGGTAGTTATGGTAGACATTTTGTGTTGTATATTTTTTTAGTTGAAAGCAGAGCCCCACTGGCAGAAATATAATGGGACGAGTTCTCAACTTACATGAAGAAAATACAAGGTTTTGAGAATTTAAGTGGTAGAAGGAAAGAAAAAAGAAGAAATTAATAACAAGTGGCAATCGTTAGTTCGTCAAATAATCCCATTTTGTTGGTACGATTCTAGAGTTTGGCGCATAGCTGATAGCACTCATGATAATTGAGGAAGCTAGCAGGTTATGCTGGAAAATGTTAGCTTGCGCTCCATTTTATACTAAACTAGTTAAACAGGAAATATTTTTTTACAAAATTTGTCGATATCGAAGGAGTAAATTTTTAAAATATAAAAATAACTACTATATACATATATAAATATAATTAAGAAAAATATAAAATAGAAATGGATATAATTAAGAAAAGACATGAAATAATTTGAAATGGATCGTATAAGGAAATAGAAAATAGAAGGCCAAAATCATATGCGGCCCCCTAAATTTGTCCAGATTTTCCTCTCAAGACACCTTATCTAAGCTATATTTCAATTGAACACTTATATTATTTAAAATTGTTCATATTAAACACTTTTTGCTGACATGGCATAGTGTATGTAATACACCTAAAAGCAGCGCGTGAAGGGCTTATATCTAGCCAATTTTTTTTTTAAAATCTCTTCTTCTCCATTCTCTCTTGGCCACCGGTTCCTCCACCATCAACCACCGGACGCCACCACCACTGCAATAATTATTTTCTTTATCTCTTTCAGATCTGGAAACCATCACCACAATCATCCCTTTCTTTTTCTTTAAACCCAACAACACCCGCTACATTGCTATCTTATTTGCCGGAAAAAATAGAGATCGCCATCACTCTCTATCTTCTCCCTCCCTCCCTCTCTTCTCCCTCCCTCTCTTCTACCAAAAAAATTAATACAACCACAAAAGTTAGAACTAAAAAACTAAAAAAACGTGAGGTGTAGGGGGGCAGCAGCGGCTGGAGGGGGTGGCGACGGCGGGTAACTGGTAGATTCAGTTGGGTAAGAGATTTACAATTTACAACCAACAAAAATTAGATTACAACAATAAAATAGTTAGCTCTAGAAACCAAAAACAAACGTGCGAAATAGAAAAAGGAGGTGGGACGATGACTGATTTGTTTGGTAAGAAGAAGAAAGGGAGAGGGAGGGTTGGGTAGGTGTGGGGATCGGGATTCAGAAAATAGTTTTTCTTTTTTTCTTGGCAGAATAGCCTAAATGGCACCTATACTGGTGCCACTTTGTCATGTCGGTCCTTCTACTTTACTTTTTTTCATCCAGACACTTCAACTTGTTCAAAATTCATATTTTAAACCCCTCTGACCATTGACCAAGCACATGTGGCAAAATAATGGTTGAGCTGGACAAAGTGAGTGTGATTCACGCGGATAATGAGCGTGAATATGAACATTTGAACAAGAAATTATTAAAATAAGAAGAAAAGTCATTAAAATAAGTAAAAAAGAAAAGAAAAAAACAAAAGATATATGTCTCTTTTTGTTCCTCCCTCCCCCTCTCCCCCCCAACGCTTCTTCTTCTTCTTCCACACTGTACTCCCCCCCCCCTCCCAACAACACTCCCACTGTACTCACCCACCTTCTCAGCACACTCCCCTCCCCTTTTGTTCCCCAGTACGCTTCTTCAGTACGCTTCTTCGTCAACCCCCCCCCCACCCAACAACACCTCCTCCCTTTTCGTTCCCCCCGTACGCTTCTCCCCTCCTACTTTTCATCGCTGATACGCTCTGGAATTTATACTTGCTTCTTCTTTTTAAAAGAAGTTGCATTTGGCATAGGGATGCAACAATGGTTGCAATGGATGATCCAGTAACTGAAGGTCCAGATCCAAAGTCCAAAGAGATTGGTAGAGCGCAAGGCATGTACATAAATTCACAGTTAGATGGTAAGGGACTGCACTTGATGTTTTCTGTAATTTTCGCTGATGGGAAATTCAAAGGGAGTACTTTGGAGATTCAAGGTGCTGATCTTTTTGCAATGAAGGAGAGGGAAATCTCAATTGTTTCAGGGACGATTTTTTTTAGATTTTTTAAAGGTTATGGCATTATGACAACTCACTTTATTGATATTCCTAATCTCAGAGCCATTCTTAAGCTTCATGTTACTGTCAAGCATTATTGACGTTTACTAGTTCTATTTATTGGTAGTTTTGTGGGTCCTATCCTAAGTTAAAGTTGCTTCATGATTCAATTTACAATTCGAATTGTAATGTCTAGGTTGATAGATTTCATGAAGAATTTATGATGTTGGAAGGTTTTTTTTAGGCAACTATTTTCTGAAAACTATTTGGTGATGTACGCTTCTCCCTTCCCCGGCTTCTTCTCCCCTCCACCTTCTGGTTGTGAATGGAGAAGGGATATGAGATGGACAAGGAAGAAGAACTCTGTGAATTTGAGGGAAGAGAGGTGAGGTTGAGGTATTGATTTTCTTTTTCTTTTTCTTTAAGGAAATAGTATATAATAAGTGTTTTTAGTAGATAAAATATTAAAAATGACATGGAATATGTTGTGTCATCCACGTCAAGCAAGTGAGATACACACACAGTCAGAGGGGTTTAAAATATAGATTTTGAACAAGTTGAAGTATCTGGATAAAAAAAAGTAAAGCACATCTGCGACTATAGGGCCGCAGGTGCGGTTATATCAATAACTAGTAGTGTAACGACCCAACTGGCCGTTTTGCCTTTTAGAACCTCGTTCCCCTAAATAAAACCTTTCGTACTTGCTTTAGCTAATTTACGACTTGCGGGGACGGTTAGTTCGGGAGTTGGAAGAGTTTTGAGTGAAATATGCCTAATTGTTTCTTTAAGATTCTCTTAAAAGACAAAGTTTGACTTCGGTCAACTTTTTGGAAAAACGGACCAGGACTTGTGATTTGACGGTCCCGGGATGTCCGTGGAAAAATATGGGACCTGGGCGTATGCCTGGAATCGAATTCCGAGGTCCCTAGCCCGAGTAATGAATTTTTATTGAAAATTGTTAAATTGAAATCCTAAGAGTTTAATAAAAAGGAAAAATGCTTGATCACATTGATATCGGGCCCGTATGTTGGTTCCGGAGCCCGGTACAGGTTCGGTATAATATTTTAGTCTTGTCTGTGAAATTTGGTGAGAAACGGGATTGATTTGACGTGATTCGGACGTTCGGTTGAAAAGATAGGAATTTGGGTGTTCTTGAGGATTTCATGCATTTTGGTGTTAAATCCGTGGTTTTAGGTGTTAATTAGGCGATTTGATTGTTTGACAAGTTTGCACATTGTTGTAGGACTTGCGTGAGTGTTCGGAGTGGAGCCCTGAGGGCTCGGGTGAGATTCGGGCATGGTTGGAGGTAGGAAATCACACCAGTTTTTCTGGTATTTTTACCCCTGCTGCAGGTCTCGCAATTGCGAGATGGTCATCGCAATTGCGAAATTTGAGGTGTGGGTACCTCGTCTTGGCATTGACGAGTGTTTTTGCTAATGTAGTGGATGGGAGATTGCATACCTTTATTTTCGCGAATCAAGACTACGCTTACTGCTACCTCGGATACGGCTAGATAGACGAGGATTCACTCCCCATGTTCGGGTTTCGAAAGCAAGGGCGGTGATGATGGGTACGCCTTTAGTTCTCGTAGAGCCTAGACGTACTTGGAAGTCTATTCGAGGCAGTTATCCTTCTTGAGTACGCCAAAAAATTTGTGGCATCTATCCGACGACCGTGAAATGAACCTTGATAGGGCAGCGATATGACCAGTCAATCTTTGGACTTGCTTTTGGGCAGTTAAGAGTCCCGGTATCCCCTCGACAGCTTTGATTTGGTTTGGGTTGACCTCGATCCTTTGCTACGACACCAAGAAATCCAAGAATTTTCCCGAGGCTACGCCAAACATGTATTTCTCCGGGTTCAACTTCATTTCGTATCGTCCGAGTATGTCAAAAGTTTCTTTCAAATGATCGATGTGATCCTCTGCACTTTTGGACTTGACCAACATATCGTCTATATGCCTCCATGGTCTTACCAAGTTGGTCTTTGAACATCTTGTTTACCAACCTTTGATAAAGTAGACCCCGCGTTTTTTAGTCCAAACGGCATGATCCGATAGCAATACGTTCTTTGGTGGGAGATGAATGTGGTATTCTCTTAGTCTTCTTCTTCTATGAGAATCTGATTATAGCCTGAGTAGGCATCCAAGAAACTGAATAGTTTGTGACTGGATATTGCGTCGATAAGCTAGTCGATGTGGGGTAACGGGAACGAATCCTTCAGACATGCTTTGTTCAAGTATGTGACATCCATGTACATTTTCTATTTTCCATTTTTCTTTTTGACCATCACTACATTGGCAATCCACTTGGGGTACTTTGACTCCTTGATGGAGCCGTTTTCTAATATTTTTTCCACCTTCTCGCGGACTGCGTAGTTGATGGCGGAGTTGAATTTACGTTTGACTTGCCTTACTGGGGGGTGCAATGGGTCGATGTTTAACTTGTGTGTGGCGTTTTCTTTTGGGATGCCCTGGCATATCTGCATGGCTGAAAGCGCACAAATTTGCATTAGCTATTAAGAACTGACTGAATTTACTTGGTTCCTAGAGTTTGCAGCCAATATCGGCCTTCTTGTTATGATCGTTAAGGTCCAATTGAACAGGGTCGAGGTCGTTTATGGTCGAACCTGCAGCCTCGACCATGTCGGGATCCATGATGACATCCCTGGTTTCTTCTTGCTTCGACCTCGACCCTATTGATTACTATGCCTCTTTTTTTATCTTTTTTTCTGTTGGATGGTCGTGCTATCCAAGGCGATGCAGTAGCATTCTTGGGACGTGCGCTGTTCTCCGCGTATGCTGAACTTAATTACTTGGTATAGGTTGGATGGGATGGCTCTCATGGGGTGTATCCATGGTCGTCCCACTATGGCATTGTATGCGGCCTGGTCCATGATGTGGAATATCGTCTCCAGAGTTACTCCGCCGGCCAAGATACGGAGTGTAATTCCCTCGGATATTCACTTTACTGCATTATTAAACCGGTTTACATGATGTAGCGCGACACTATCTTATCCTCGAGCCTCATTTGGGTAAGGACTTGGGGATGGATAATGCATGCACCGCTTCCATTGTCCACCATGATACATTTGACATTGGTATCTAAAATGAGTAAAGTAATAACAAGGGCATCATTATG